TTCATTACCTGTTTCGTTCCAACTTGTTGCCGGTAATATACAGCGTCTTCCTCATTTATATCACTGATAAAATATTACGCCGTTATTATATTCCCATATAAGATACAGGCCTAATAAGATCTCTTGTTATTTAGGTTACGTAGCTCACAAAATTTCTCTCTTTTTTATCGCTGAGGGAAGGACAAATATCCAGTCGAAAGTCACGAAACGAAATATAAACTGATTGTGAAAGAGGAGAATCAATCAATGAATTGGGATTGTCACCAGCCAAATAGAATACGACATTATTCGCGAAATTGGCTGTTCAAAGTGACGGATGAAATATACCATTTTGCTAAAAGTTGGTGGGGTTAGAAAGTCTTTTTATGTTCCATTTTCACAACCGTCACTAGCGCAAATTTTTATTGTATTAACCACGCTATGGCCTGCATAAACTACTTACATTTTACCTACTGTACATACAATGAACTTCCCTTAATCCACAGGGAATTCAAAGTGATTCAGTGGGTAGACGTTTGAATTTATATGGAATTTAAGGCAACGAAAAAATATTAGCTATTATAAGGATTTATGAATTCACTTTAGCTACGGACGCCGCGACGGTGCGACGCGTAGAGCGCGTAGCACACAAATGATACAATATTGTATCACCATTCCGAAACCGTTCAAAGCGCAAATTGCTTATTTATTTTATGGTACCTCGTTTATTTATAATGTTTAAACCAAGACCAAACAGATAATGTAGTACTTATGTTCCATTTTAATTTCTTAAATGTCGAACTAAATATTGCTCTTTAAACGAAAAAGTTGGCGATATAACTTCGATTTTTTTAAGTAAGGTGGACCCATGTGACAACGCGTTACATCGCCATGGTTACGGCACTTCCGTGCCCGTGTGGTGGATTCCAGTTACTAACAACACAACAAGTAGAACGGCAAGTTAATTACATACAAGATGCAATATTACGCATCTATACGTAAAGTGCTTATTTTGAAAAGGGAATTTTATTTCACTTTTTATCCTAGACTCCAACTACAAACGTGAGGTCTTATAAGTTAATTTTATCTGAATGATTTGATTAATTTAGCGGTAATTTATTATTGTGTAGGATTTCCAATAACGTCCAAACTGTCGAGAGTAGGTGGAAAAAATAACTTTTAAACTTCCACTTCCTAATAATTACAATTCTGCCTTCCTAACGAAAAAAGGTACAACTATGCGCACTTTCTACAGCAGTTGTGCCTTTTTTCGTCCTGAGGGCAAAATTTGCCATATAAAATATCCAATTTGAGTTTAATCTTGATGGTGTAGCAGTCACGAGACGTGTCAATGTAGCATTCTCTTCCAACGTACAGGCACGTCTTAGTGCAAGTAAATTATGACATAGTGTAAGATAGTATAAAGAGACACGTATCAAATTAGTATAAACAAGTTTTCCAATTAGTATATGATAGGCATGTACTATAAATAACAACTCACTCATTTCCATCTTGCTACACTGGTGGCCTTGACTACCTGTACCATGGTACATATGGTACAGATAAATACCGTTTTTCAAGTAAATAGCCAGATGACCTTTTAAGTTGCTTTTCCATAGGGAAGGGAGATGAGACGAGACGCAACGAGGATTGAAAGTTGTATGAAAAATTTTTAATTTTCTCCTAGGTTCTTCCTTCAGTAGCAATGATCTGGATTGACGAGAATTGAAATATTTGTTGGTATAATATTAAACCGTATTACTGCCTCTATAGAGTGTTTATTAACTCTGCAATGGAAACACGATTTATGCGATGCCTCGCACGTGCTCACGATGACTATTGTTATAAATCGCGAGATATTAAAAAAATACGTGATTATTTATTCTCACAGTATCATTAATTTGATTTTTCTTACATTAAAATATTTAATAATAATAATTTACAAATACAAAATACAAATATCCTTTATTGCCACAGTGACACTTTTTGACATAAATAACATGTTAAGCCAAAACATAAACAACCAATAAACGTTACGCCAAACATGTCAGAGAGCGAGAGATGTCTCAGCTTGTGCCTTAGAGGATGGAAAAAAAATAAATTGCGCGACCTGAAACCGTTGTTTTCGTAGACAGCGCTGTTTTTCAGCTACCTCCTTGTGCCTAAGATCTTAGGCGGGCTTGAAAGCAACGAGGGCCTAAAAACAATTATAAAATTTTGAAGACCGTTATTCCGTCTTATTTAATAATTCAATATATTATATATTATTATATACATGTAATAGGTGAAGATACACTTATATTAACGGGAAAAAAAACAGCAAAAAAAAAAATAAGAGAGAGAATAAAAAGCAACATCAATTAGGGTGGGTTTGTATTTATTACTCATATAATGAGGTACAAAAAATTAGGGCTTACAATAATTTCCCAGCTTTAGTGCCTTCCAGTAACAGTGCTTCAGATCCATTGCTGCAAGTTGCTTTTTTATTAAGGCTGATTTAAATAAGACTCTGAACAGGTTCGCACCAATTTTCTTCCTCATTAACCTGAACCTGAACCTGTACCGTGCCGACTTATGTATAGGAATCTTCAGCATGTCGCATGTAGTAGAGCGAAGACTCCTGTGCGTAACGTACCTCAGCCAAGTGATTTTATCAAAGACCTACTCAGGTTCCTTTTTCCATACTACTCTCTGAACCAAACAAGCACACTGGTGTTCTCTTCTCGCGTTCATGTTGAGGATTCCCTTTTTGTTCAAATAGGCAGTAATGTGTACTCGCCTAGGCATATTGAAGGCAAAACGGACGTACGCATTTTGAACTCTCTGTATACCTCTCTCGGTGTTGGTTTTAACTCTCAGGCCGAAAACAGGACTACAATAGGAAAGGTAAGTAAAGTAAAGGGGATAACACCACAGAATCCATTACGAGCAAACGTATCTCTTCCTTTATGTACGGCTTTATTTGGTATAAAGTTTTTAACTAAAAGAAGGCATTTCTAATTTTCAAATTATCGTGCTCTACGTACCTCTGTTCTTCTATCTTCATTCAAGATAAGTCCCAGATTCCGTGCCGACTTGACCCGTTCCAAAACAACGTTTGTTTTATTTGTGTTTTAGTCCCCAAAATCAACATTTGTGATTTCCCGGGATTGAGAACCGGAGAGTTCTTTTTTGACCAGATATAAATATTTTGAAGATCGTCATTATTTTTTTCTACTGCTCCTTGTAAGCTTTTTTCGTCAAATGAGTAGTATAATTGTGTGTCGTCTGCATATAAGTGATATTTACAGGATTTTATGCGTAATGGTAGATCTGCTGTAAAGATGGTGAAGAGGATTGGACTCAATGATGAACCTTGCGGTGCCCCTCGAATAAGTGTTCTGAATGTCGAACACATTTTATCACCATCATTATTCTCCGTAACGACCATTTGCTCTCTGTCTGTCAAAAAAGATTTTATTCACTGACAGGAATTCGGCGAAAATTCGTAGACTTTCCATTTTGCTAGAAGCAATTCCGGGTGCAAACAATCGAAAGCTCGAGAGTAATCCAGTAATATCAATATACTACTTAACCCCATGTCCGAGGCTTCGGTAAGATCGTCAGTAACATGAAGTAGGGCCGTTTCTGTTCCGTGATCTCTCCGGAACCCTGATTGATATTTAGGTATTATGTTTGTCTCGTCTAAAAATTTTTGTATTAGTACCAGGACCACCTTTTCGATCACTTTCGACGATACAGGAAGAATAGAGATTGGTCTTAGGTCTCTCAGTTCCTCAACAGAGTTTTTTTTAGGAATGGGTTTGACTAATGCTCTTTTCCAACAAGATGGAAAGTTAGGTAAGGATAAGGTAAGGTACGGGCCATGTTACTTCAACCGCGTGTTTAACGATAGACGAACTGAACGCCACCGTATGTTCACTATCCACAAACTCAGCGCGAGAGCTTGCGAGTGCGCGTTGGCTATTAATATCAAGCGCGCATTGGTAATGGCAATTTTCGGTGGAAACAGGCCGGCGAGATTACAATTGTCGTGTAGCCTCATCACGTCTCGTCTCGGCTCGTCTCGCTTCGTCGGTGGATAAGCATAATAATATAGTAACAAAATTAGGAAATATTTTATAGTTGGCTTCGAAATGCGATTTTCCTAAAATCAAGGTTTCGAAACTAGACTACCTATAAAATAAAACGTAAAATCTTATTTACGTTCACAAAATACAATAACAAAAATCGAATAAAGCTGCTTAATTCGCTACGCCGGAATTCGAAATAGCTTTTATATTAGATATTATGTTTTACTATATTCTATAAGCGTTGTTTGAGGGTTGATCTATCGATTGAATCCAAAATAAATGTTGTAATTGAGGACCGTATAATAATTTATGGCGACGCCACGGCGTCACACTTTGATTTGTGTATGAACCTTCTTGAGATCAACGCATTACACCTGCGTGTCTACTCCAAGATATATGTATACGTCCCATTCCTTTCTACATAAATTTGATTATAGCGACCCTCCCTACCAACCCTTAGAGTATACGAGAAGGGCACTATAGCCTGTGCAAGCACACGGACCTTCTCGGTCAAGTCCTGACCCCAGGTCAGCCTGTTTGCTCTTCATCCGGTTCTCAAAAGGCTAGTGCCTTGGGTGAGCTGCGCCGGGTGTACGTACAGCACATGTATATGAGATACTTGTACAGTCAACAGCACATCAAGCTATACACTTTTGTTCGAATATCGTCTCCAGTACAACGGAATAAGATCCGTCAGTATGTAGCTTTGTAGTACGTCGTAAAAGTAGGTATAGTATATTTTTACCCAAGCGTCGATTACATTGTTATAGATCCAGTCGTTGATATAGAGCTAGTGGTTGAACAAACTTGTACCTTTCTACACTAAGTTTGCATAGAAAAAATTACTACTTGGTTATATGGCGGCTTGTAGTACATTAGATTATAGCGTTACTGTTCCGTGTCGTCATTGTAATTTTTTATGTGCAATAAAGACAGTTTTGTTCATACCTGGCATTCTGCATCACCGACATAGCAGCAGTCGCCGGAGACGGAGGTGGGCGACCAGAGGTGCTCGCCGTTGATAGCCCCGTCGCTCCATTCAGGGGTAGAACGGAGCACGCGTGCGCCTCCGGTGTCACCACCGCGTCTGTCAAACAACGTACACAATTACGTAACATAATTTAAATAAATTATCACTGTGAATAAATAGCCAATTTTATAACCGATGGAAAATATTCCCCACGAAGTAAAACAAGCTTTAGTTCCACCCATTTCCTGTAACGACGACCTGCTGGTTTAGTGTAAGCACAAACACATAAGATATATCTTCCCCAAACTATAAATTTGGTCTCAAATGACGTCACGCAAGTTATATATACAGATACCGACATGACTATTCGCGCACGTGAATGCCACATTAACGTCGTAAGAGGAGTTGGCTGACAAGATAAATTCTCTAAACTCTCGCGAGTTTTGTCTATTTTACTACAGAGCTCCAAAAATGTGGGAACACGTATTTTTTTATGATGTAAAATGACGGGACCAACCATGGACGAACAAGTCGTGCGCCTGGTGATAAGCTACCCGCCTATCCATAACAGTTGCATTATGAATCAGGGCTTTAAATCGCTAAGATCTAAGATGCACTGCCACTGTGCTCGTCACCGTGAGACATAAAGATGACACCTTCCTTGTGCCTGTAGTTTCACCAACACCCATACCCTTCAAAAAGGGAACGCAGTAATGCTCACATTATCTACTGCTTGGCGGCAGAAATAGGTATGGTGGCAGTACTTCCTTGGAAGAATTCTTTCGCAAGGAGCCCTTTTGCTACTATATTTGGGTTGGCCAATATTTCCGTGCGGTTTAGCTAATTTTAAACAAAAAATAACTTATTTCGGTCGAAGTTGCAAGTTTTTTAATTCATGAAAAATGCCTACAACCTTAGCCTACAACTAGTGAATCATAAAGTTATGGGTTTCATCATGATAATGCCAAACCATACAAATCTTTACAAAGTCATCAAAATTATTTTATTTAATTACATTTGAGTGTGGCACCTCGGCCACCGTAATCGCCCACCATAGCCCCTTTAGATTTTCACTTGTTTCGATCTTTCATTGAATAGGCAATGAATAGGCACGACTTTGATAACGAAGAGACCATTAAACGACACTCCGAGCTGTATTTTGTAATTAAGGACAGGAAGGGGGAATTCTAAAATTACCCGAAAGATGGCAAAAGATTGTAGATCAACATGACCAAAACATAATTGATTAAAATTTAATATTTATTTTACTAAAGGTTTTTCATTTATACTTTGATACCGCACGGACTTTTTTGCCAACCTAATATAAGATATTTATTATATTGAGTGTAGTAAAAGTTTATTCATATATAAATTTTATAATAAACAAATGGTCGGGTTCTAATAAATGACGTACTTTAATTTGTGTAAAAGTGTAGATTTACTATAGATTTGCGCAATGTAATGTACTAATAACAATACGAAAAAAAAACACGAAAAAGTTATAAAATGTGAACTCGACCCTCTTGATCGCCTACAATGTTTTAACTGTTATACACTGGAACAATGAACTTAACTAAATTACACTATTATAACTATTATAATAACACCGTAAGTTACTGCGAGTTGAGTTCACCCTGTGTAATCATATGAACCTTAGCGACTATAAAAGCTACGAAGGCCTGTATAGACTGTATATAAAAATATATTAAACTCTATTTTTGTTTCTATTTATTATGTTTTAGTCATAACACTTAAAAATATTTTTTCCGTGCATTAGTCAAAGTTTCTTAAGATTCGCACGTAATTTCGATATTCTCGCTAACTTTTATGTGATTTCGTACAAAACTTTCAATTAACAAATCTCTTTTCAAATAACTTTTTAGTCGTATTAATTATCTTTGAATTTAGAAATAGAAGAATGGTAAAAGCCGTCAACTAAAATGAACTAAAACAGTAGAATAAAGACATAAATTCAACATAAATTTCCAGTTTTATTTGGATTAAGAAAAAGCAAGTTAAAAATTGTTCAAAATCTGAAAATTACCGTAACTTCCGTTCTATTCCTCTTGCTGCTGAATTGGGAATAAAAATGTAAGTAAAAGTTCACGTTTACATTTTGTAGTCGATACAATAGGAATAATCTCCCGAACAAACACCCCACCTCCGGGAATAGCCCGTTTCTATTCTACAATAAACAATTAATATTACAGATTACTCAAAGATGGACTGTGCTTCGTGTAACCAATCACTGCAGGGCTGCGCATCTATTAAGTGCAGTAAGTGCACTTCGCAATTTCACCTGGAGTGCATCGACAGCAAGGAGTTGATCGCTAGCACCAACAGCTGGCAGTGCGACAAGTGCTCCACCGTGCGAAACGAAATCCCCCATGTTATTGAAAGTGTTCGAGCTTAACTACGTTTATGTACCAGCAAACTATGAACAAGAGCTGCCTTCGATTTCTAAGCAAAAGAGAGGGGAATGTGCTTTCAGTTACTCCATCTTCGCGATTCACAAATCATCATCCTCCTTCTGCACCGGTGAATGGTAACCTCGATGAAGCACTTTTTCATGATTTGCCGTTGAATTTTGTCACAAAATTTTAGTAGTGTCATCAAGTGTAAGAATGTAACTTGACTGTTTGACAATATTTCTTCAAATAGAGTGGAATCTGCACTAATCTTATTTTATTTATTTTCATTGATAGCTAACCTAAAAGTCGAAAATAGCCGAAAGACTATTTTCGACGTTTAGGCCCGAAAGGGCTATTTATTGGTAGTCTTACTAGCGTGTCTTACTGATATGATCAAAAAGAATATTTGTTTGTATTGGTGGTCATATTAATATTAGTCAGCATTAACACCCCGTAGCCTGCAGGCAATGTGAAATTTAAGCTACTTTGGAGATAGAAACCGCAAGAACTTACTTACTCTACATGTTATTTATTTATTTAAAATGCAAGTCGTAACTACACGTTCCATTAGGCAAGTACTTATTGCTACGACACCCCGTAGGGACATATCCCTATGTATGGTTGCCATAGCACCTAGTCGCAGGTTTACATTATTTTATACATTACAAAACATGATAATAATCGATAGATCAGACTTCGTCAAATACATACAATAACAATTTTATTAAATAACTAAAGTTTGTCAATATAAAATTCATTTCAGTTATGATAACATTTGTCAATTACTATACTTTAATTTTTTTTGTGAAAGTTCTATAATTTGTCTCACTTCTTAGGTAGTCAGGTAGTTTATTATCAATCTTTATTGCATTATAATACGGATTATTCTGATACATGCTTAGGGCACATTGTGGAAGGCTTTTATTATATCTAGAGGGTTTTTATGAAGTATGTACGGCACTAATAAATAATTCACTGTTAACTGCCTTCGTGGTCGAACGGTTGCCATGCCGGACTGCACGCAGAGGTCCCAAGTACTATTCCCGGGCCCGGAGAAATATTTGTATGGCCTACATTTATTTCTCTCGTGAGTTTGGGTGTAATTTGTGGTTGTACATGTGTGTGTCCCTGGCACCCGCGACTCAGGGTTTCCCTAGTGCGGGGTTTTGAGTGTGTGCGTTATTATTATTATTCTAATAAATTTAGCCATTTTACAACCATGGAAAACAAGGTTAATACTTGTAATTTTTTTAAATGTGGTCTACAATATTCCGTACGTTTGATATTCGTTGACGATTTTCTGTCAATATACTTTCAAGCAGGGAGCACGGATTTTTATTATCTCCTGTGTTAAGTCCCGTACATGGTCCTAAACCGAAGCCGGATTTTGTCTACCTGGATTCAAGGATATGTAAGCTTCAAATCAAGAGAATAAGTGAACTTAACAGCTAGTCGTCAAGATCGTGAATGTAGGCTGGTGAAGGTGTACATAGCCCTTTTCATATGTTCCACGACAAAACTATCCACATTGAACTGGTTGGTGACTTGACATGCAATAATTATTTATGAGCATTGAGCACATTCATTGCGCGTAGGAGGAAATCCAAAACCATATATTCCGACAATGGTTTATCATTTGTTGGTGCTTACAGCGACCTTTCAACATTTTTAAAAAGTAATTCTGATTCGCTGTCGTCAGAGGTCGCCAATGAAGAAATAAATTTATGTTTATTCCAGCGTATTCGCCACGTTTCGGAGCTCTATGAAAGGCTGGTGTAAAGTCGACCAAATATCGTTTACAAAGAGTGTTGGGCAATTGTAACTTAACTTTTGAAGAGCTTTATAAAGCACTTATTCAAATTGGAGCAATCCTCAATTCACGACCACTTACCCTTCTCTCTAGCGGTACAGAAGACCTAATGCCATTCGTTTATTACCAGTAGTTCCATGTTCTCAGTTCCATGTGGAACAATTGTAACCTTAACATGTCATAATTGACACCAGGACATTTCATTATCGGTAGATCGCTCACTTCCTTGCCAAGCCAGGATTATTTAGATGTGTCAAACAATTGCTTGAATCGTTTCCAGCAAATTGCAAAGCTTGGACAACATTTTCGGTACAGATGGAGCAAAGAATATGCCTCAGAGCATCAACTGAAGACTAAATGGCGTACTTGTAAAGACACAAGACGCGAAGATGAACGCTCTAGCAGTTTTAAAGTAGGACAATCTACCACCGTTAAAATGGAAATTGGGTCGAGTTGTAACTGTGTTTCCTGGCTCTGATGGCGTCAATAGTAAGAAAATGCTTTTCAAAAATTTGTCCCCTCCCTGAAGCCTGTATTACTGGAAAGGCTGTTAAAATAAGTTGAGGCCAAGAACTGTGGAAGTTATAAGGCGTGACCGTGCAGAGAACAATGTTAGTCGTGCGGCTGAAATCAAATAGCGTCTTTGATTCTAATTTGTTTATTACCATTTGTTCCATACAAATGCTCACCAAATACAGTCAGTATATATATCATCTTAGCAACGATCACTGTGTAAAATACAAGAAAATCAAAATTGTATTGAAGAAGAGGAAGAGAGCGAACAGAGTGACATAATCTAACATAGTCTAACAAAGGCAAGCCTTTAAGAGTCGGCGGAATGTTCACGCATAAAGACTTATTTTTATAAACAGCGCCTAAATTTTATAAGGAGCAAT